TGGCGTTCATAGCCCTCCACATCTTCTGTGTAGCTCTTAATAAGCTTTGATTTTTTTGTTATTTCTGCTAAACGCTGTTCTACCATCCGATTGCTCAAGCTCATAGAATATGTTACGTGCTGCTTTTCTGTCCCTTTTTCCTCAAACTGTCCCGTCAGGGTCAGGTTTTCTAAGTCCGCCTCCCTGATTACGTGCCCCACAAACCTCAACCGTCTCTTCCTGATTTTAAGTATAAGTATCCTTTTGTTTCTATTCTCTCCAAAACTTCGTTGTTGTTCACATATTCGGCCCATGGTATCCTCAGCATCTTTCAGTAGAACCACATTTCTGTTGCTTCAAATCTCTTCCTCATCCTGGAGGAAATTGTTCAGCATTCTCTGTTATACAGGAAGACAGATATCACGTATCCGTTCAATACGCTTTTCTTTGTTTCTAACGAAATTTTCTGTCTCTTAATACTCTGCTTAACTTTTGGAATGCATCTTTGGTCATCCTAATACGTCTTCTGATCTCAGTATCGCACTTTTCGGCCCCTGTTAGAACACTTCCCAGATATTTAAATTTCCGTACCTGCATGATTTTAGTGTCTCCGACATGTAATTTGCATTTTGGGATCATCTTTTTGTTGATAATCATGCACTCTGTCTTCTTGTAGTTTATAGTTAGTCCTTTCTTCTCGCTTTCCTTCGCTCCTTTCTGTGGGAGATTTTGTAGTTTCTCTTCCGTGTTTGCTACCAGCACTGTGTCATCTACATATTTTATATTGTTAAGAATGTGGCCGCCAATAATGAATCCTGGTAAGATTTCTAATTCTCTTAGAATCTCCTCGCTGTATAGGTTGAATGAATCTGGTGAGAAGACACATCCTTGTCTTACACTATTTTTGTATATCTGATGAACTCATTTTATATCCGGTTTCTGGCGGTTTGCTCCCAGATTAAATTCTTGATTATTCTAATGTCTTTCTCGAATATGTTAAGGTTCCTTGTTACGGTATCTTTGACGAACCCGCACTGTTCTTGTCCTATCTCTGGTCTGATTCTGCTGCTCGCTCTATTCATCAGAATTCGGATGATGAGTTTTGTTATGTGGCTCATTAGGCTGATTGTTCGTTGAAGTTCACATTCGTTTACGCCTGGTTCCTTAGACAGTGCTATGAAAATAGATCTGCTTAGGTCTTCCGGTATGTCACCACTGTTCAAGATTTCATTTATTATTTCTGTGACCTTGTCTATGGCGAAATAATCTAAGGCTGCCAGTATGTCTATTATAATTCCGTCTGGCTCTGCCGCTTTGTTTCTGTCCAATTAGGCCAGTGCAACTTCCACTCCGGTTTTTAATATTTCCGGTCCATCGGTATTTCTGTGCATTGCTGGTTGTGAACCGACTTTCCTAGCAGCAGAACTAGCAATTGATATTTCCATGGCAAATGTTAAGTTGATCGCCATTCTTTAGTTTCATCAGCTTCAACCTTTACAGCTTTGACACGCCATGCCAGTTTCACAGAGCCGAATCACCTCCAAATTCCAGTTTTACACTCAAACAGCTTTTTCTCAAGAACCCCCAAATATGATGATTCTTGAGAAGAAACATACACCTGCGTAGGTAATTCCCTTAATACAATATTGACCTCAAGGGTCAATCATTATCTCCAAGGTCTGTCTGAAAAGTAAGTGTACTAGTGTCACAAAGTATTTATTTCAATTCCAAACAACAAACTATCTGATTTTCTCTTTAAAGTAATTCCAGCCCCAGTCTAATGCACTTTTCCATCCTACACTGCCACGCTTCTCTGCACTTCTTGAAGGATTCTTCTTGGATGTTCCTCAGCTCCATCGTTACGGCCCTCTTGATGACCTCCATGCCTTCAAAACAGCTCCCCTTGATGATCCCCTTCAGCTTGGAGAAGAAAAAAAGTCATACGGAGGAAGATCAGGTGAATAGGGAGTTTAAAAAAATTTTTTTTTTTCATTATGGCTAGGTTCTTCTCGGCCAGGAACGGCCGCATGCCTCGGGTGTTGTGAGCTGATGCATTATCGTAGTGAAGCAACCACGATTTGTCCTGTGACAACTTTCGTCTGTTATCGCGCTCCGAGCGAAGCAAACGCCTCAGGACCTCTTCCAGACTTTCTCATTGCTCGTCTGACCTTGTGGCAAGAACTCGATATGGACGATGCCCATAGCCTACACAGCACATTTAGTCACGTTACTTTTCAGGCAGACCTTGTATTTTGATTTCTTTAAAGTAATCCTACCTCCAGTCTAATGCACTTTTCCATTCTTCACTGCCACGCTTCTCTGCACTGCTTGAAGGATTCTTCTTGGATGCCCCTCAGATCCGTCGTTACGGCCATCTTGATGACCCCCGTGCCTTCAAAACGGATCCCCTTGATGATCCCCTTCAGCTTGGGGAAGAGAAAATGTCATACGGAGCAAGATCAGATGGATAGGGAGTTTTTTTTTTTCATTATGGCTAGGCTCTTCTCTGCCAAGAAACAGCCGCATGCCCAGGGCGTTGTGAGCAGATGCATTATCGTAGTGAAGCAGCCACGATTTGTCCTGTCACAACTTTCGTCTCTTATCGCGCTCCGGGCGAAGCAAACGCCACAGGATCTCTTCCAGACTTTCGTCTGGCCTTGTAGCAAGAACTCGATGTGGACGATGCCCATAGCCCACACAGCACAATTTTCCTCTAAATTTAAATTTTGCAAACAGTTTTTTTTTCTCAAGAACCACTATATTGTGGAACATACTCCTGCGCATGTACTTTCCTTATTAATACAATATCGACCTCAAGGGTCAATCATTATCTCCGATGTCTATCTGAAAAGTAACGGGACTGGTGTCACAAACAATATATTTCAATTCCAAACAACAAACTACATGATTTCCCCTTCAAAGTAATCCCGCCTCTAGTCTAATGCACCTTTCCGTCCTTCTCTGCTACGCTTCTATGTACTACTAGAATGGTTCTTCTTGGATGCTCCTTAGCTCCGTTGTTACACCCAGGGATTGAACTCAAAGTTACTATGTCACCAAACTCACGAAGCAACGATTTATTTCACTAGGCTATTGTTCTTGGGACAGTAATCCGTATGTAATTATGGTAAATAATAATAACTTCTCATTCCAGAAATTCAGACAAACAATTCAAATACTTCAGTGTGTGAATCATTTATGATAAACTTAATGTAGGAGACAAGGAAGAAAATAAAATCGGCTGTGCTAGGGGTCAGTCAGTTATGTGCCATGCATGATACACACTTAGACGATCATGTATCTTTCGATACATAACTGAAGAGGCAGCCATTTAGGTTGCCATTTCTTTCTGCAGTAGACTATCCAAGGCTATAGATCTCGGTCTGTCCTGCTATTTACCCATAGCTGGGGAGGGAGAAGAAGAGGATTAATACCTTTCCCAAGGTTATCAGCATCTAAGTGAATGTAATTGATTCGACTGGAATTCGAACTCGGCTCTCCGAATCATCAATCCGAGCCGCTATCCACTACTCGTGCTAGGGATAGTTTTATACAATACCGCAAATTGCTACCAAACCAAATCATTAATCTAAAATCTCGAGTCATATTCTTAAATAAGTCTCATGAGATCAAAGCTTTCATATGGATGTCATGCATGGCACCAAACTCATTTAGAAATAGCTCAAATGTCAGCTGTATACAAAGCGCTTTCTCAGATCAATGCTTAAAAATTGCTTCGAGCAAATGAAGCGTGTAGGTCTTAGCGAGGACCATCCTACTTCGACCCACGTGGGCTGGCGCTACAGAATCGCAAACAAAGAACTGTATAAAATAACAGGATCAACATTACTTGTGGACTTTAATCTACAGCAATAGCTAAAATGAATATCACAGTTAACGCGCCGTCCTGGGTAAGACGTTAAACTACATCCGCGTCCTAGGTAAGACGTTAAACTGCGTCCAGCAGCAACGCCTCTGATCAGGAGGTTTTGAGGAGCGTGGAACCACCTAAAATTGCTGGTGTTCCCAGGTCCCCCTGACCCGGTGTGGTAGCACCTGTTAGGGTCCCAGCTATGGGCAAATAGTTAAATATTACCAGCAATACTTTTTTGAAAAAAATTATTACCAGCAATACAATTTTGAAGGAAATATATTACCAGAAACAGATTTTTGACAAAACAAAATATTACTAGCAATAAAATTTTTGTCAGCATTAAATAACCCATTGAGGTTGATATGCCGTAAAACAAAATAAAACCAAATCAATCTAAACCAAAGAATACATACTCTATTCATACGAATTTATCCTAAAAATGTTGTCAGCATTAAATAACGCATTGATGTTGATATGCCATAAAACAAAATAAATCAAACCAATTTAAACCAAAGAATACATACTCTATTCATACGAATCTATCCTAAAAATGTTGTCGGCATTAAATAACCCATTGAGGTTGATATGCCGTAAAATAAAATATACCAAACCAATTTAAACCAAAGAATACATCTTCTATTCATACGAATCTATCCTAAAAATGTTGTCGGCATTAAATAACCCATTGAGGTTGATATGCCTTAAAACAAAATAAACCAAACCAAACAGTTAACGTGGAGAGAAAATAAAAATACGTTGACGTTTCACACTACCTGTATGCTTTCAATTACAGATAAATATGTATTGTTGGTAATTTTTTTTTATATAAAAAAATGATTTCCTAGTATTTTTACTATAAAAAAATGTGTTTTTATACTTTCATAGTGTTTTGTTTTTGTTTGGGTGTTCACTATTTGCCAAGAGCTGGGACCTTAACAGGTGCTACCATCCCGGGTCAGGGTGGACCTCGGGGACAACAGTAATTAAGAGGAAGTTCCATGCTTCCAACTTCACTATCAATTAATATTACAACATTGGGCTTGGTTCATAACAGCGAACGTCAATTGTCCAAAACTGGCTTCACCGAAAATCGAATAATCACTTTATCGAATGGTTCACTTCACATAAAAATCCTATCATAGAAGGCTTACGTCCATATCATGTTGAAACACCTGTTCCCGTACAATCACCGAAGTTAAGCAATGTCGAGCCAGGTCAATAACTAGAAGGGTAACTCCTTGGGAATGCCAGATTCTGCAAATTTGTATGTGAATGTGGCGTAATTGGTTCGGAATTGTTAATCGGATAGCGGAGTTCCAATTCCAGTCGGGTTCATTATATTCATTTACACGCATATAAAGGTATGAATCCAAAATCTACTGAATTGGCAAATGGTATTAACCCGCCTCCTCTCCCCCCATCTATGAGTTAATTAGTAAGACTTGTATCACTAAAACCATTATTATCTCCAAAAATAAATAAAATAAAATAAAATAAAAATGCGTTCAAAATATTTAGATTCCGGCATTTAATAACCCATAGAAATTGATATGCCGAACGCATTTAGGGGATATATTTAAGTAGTTTACACTATTTACAATGTTCGGGCTGTTGTCCTAATCTTCATTGTCATATTCACGACGTTTCAGCCGTCATACGCTCCGGCTTTCTTCAGGTGCCTGGAATTTCTAATCGAACCCTTTATAGAACAATCTACCCTGTGGGCGAAATAAAGGGTTCGGATCGAAATTCAAATCACCTGAAGAAGTCCGGGTCGCACAACGGCCGAAACATCGTGAATATGGCAACAAAGTTATGGACAACATTCCGGACACTGTAAATAGTGTAAATAATTACAATGCCTCATCTCAGAAATATTAAGATATCAGTGATAAATTAATTCAGAGAAATGTATTCCTTATCGTAAATAACCAAAAATTGAATTAATGGTGATCATTTTTAAATGATGAATAATTTAAAAAAAAGAAAAAGAAAAACTTTATCCAGATATAATAGTTATCTCCCTTTAATTTTATTAGTTTCAATTTTTCGTTGAAGTGAACCATTCGACGAGATGAAAATTCGATTGAACGCTTTCGGTGAAGCCAGTTATCGAGCAAATGATGTTCGCTGTTATGATTGCCTCCTGTTCGATCCGAACCAAATTACAACCATTTGCCAGGGTTAGCTGAGCTTAGAAATGTCTACACGTGGACGTCGACATGCAAATATAAATACACATGTACTTGTCTCTGTGTGTCCGTATGCACAGGCGCAAACATGCGTCTGTGTGTCCATATTTTGCGTGTATCAGCCGAAATATACGAATTAAAACAACTTAGTTTCGCACACAAAATCACGGAAGAATAAATAAATAAATAAATAAATAAATAAATAAATAAATTGCCCACCAGTCACGCGTGTGCACACCTGAGTGCGCATTTAGACAGTCCTGAGGGTGGCGATTGTAAACAGGACACGTGTTATTCACGGGGCAGAACCAATATTTTACGGGCATATCTGGCCGACAGAGGTCGCCACGTGTCACTGATGCCATTAAAAAAGAGGATGCAATGAAAATACATGGAAGGAGTGGAAGAAGTAAAAATGGCGCTCCCACACTTCTAAGTATTTAAGATTTACGTTCATTACGGTCGCTTATCGTACGAGAGGATGCTGAGAAGTTCCCGGCCCGACCAAGAAACTTTTTCCCAGTTCTTGTCTAATCATTGGATCACATTTTGGAAAGTCGTTTGGGGCAGAGAAAATTTCACCGTCCCTCGTTTGTGTAAAAATTATCATTGTTTTGAACAACAAGAACTATCATACGAAAAAATATTTGTCCTGGGTATGACGATAAACTATATCTGGCAGCAAGGCACATAACTGACTGGTCTTCTCTATCCATTTTCGTATCCGAAGCGTAAACACATTTTTCATTTGTAAGACTTCTTGATATTAATTTCACTGTTTAAGAAAAAAAAAATAAAATAAAATAAAAAGATAAATAAAAACAAAACAAAACAAAAACAGGCGAGTCAATTCAAACACGTGTTTCACTAAAATTAATGTTTACAGTAATATATAATAATGTTGGATTAAAAGAATTCATTTAAAATTTCTGTGTTTACGCTTTAGGTACGAAAATATAACTTAACAGACAGATTCCAAGAAGTCCCAATGAGAGATGTGCTTTGCTCAAATAGTTAATTGAGCCTCGCTTTATTATGACGGTATCCTGTGGGCAAATTGGTAACGACACGTTTCGTCTATAGGAGTGGTGTCTCGATTCGCGACGTGTTAAAGACACATGGGAGACATCTCCAGACTTCAGATGACAAAGCCTTTGAAACTTCAAAGGAGTTTTGGCCAAATGTCGCGCCTTTTTTATTGGTTGTTACGTAAATCGGATTAAAACAACTGCCTTTCTCTCATTGAAAAGAAGGCGCTGTCTGGTGAATCGACAGACAAACTCGATTTAGCAATTGAGGAAGGTTCATGTCCTGTCTTATCCTTGAGGCGGGCATGGAACAGGAGGAGGTCAGACGAGGGAGGGCCTGTCACATAAATGGACCAGATTCGTATTGTCCGATTTTCGTTTCATTGCAATCGCTCGTCATTTGGGGGAGAAAAATCATTTCACCAAGGCAAATATTCAACTTTTATAAACAAACAAATCTTTAAATTGTTCTGAGCCACTGGAGCGAATACAATATTGCGTAGAGTAGGTAGCCTAAAACCATCTTACAAATTTTGTTTTCTTCATTACTTTAACGATATATTGTCCTCTAACAATTTTTTGAACGGAAATGCGAGTATAAAAATGAGAATTATCCCGCGTTCAGTCAATGGACGGCTAGGGTTCTCCACATCTTCCTATGTTTTTCTTTTTTCCTTTATCATCTTTTTTTCTTTTTGTTCCTTCATTTCTTTGCTCAAACACGTCAAGTAGTTTTTTTCGATGTTTAATCGATATTCATTTATGTTTGGTACGCCTTTGTAAATGTTAATTTTTCCAAAGATTCTTTCCTATATTATGTAACCTTAAAAATTAAACTGTCGATTTCTAATTGTTACTAATAGTTTCTTTTTAGTTCCTGTCCTCCTTAAAACTTCCTCATTTGTCACATACTCGATCTATTTTATTCTTAGCATTCGTCGATAAAACCAATCTCAAGTCATTTTAAGTCTTTTCATCATTTGTAATTAAAAATGTCCAACATTCACTGCTATATAGATGATTAAACATCGCGTATCAGTGCAATAGTCCTTTCTTTGTTTCTAACGATATTTTCCAGTTTCTTGTTACTTTGCTTAATTTTTGAAAGGCATGAAGGATTGTCCAGCATCCATTGCTATATTAGAGTTTAGATATTACATAACAGTTCAGTATTTCTTTGTTTCGTATGGCATTTTCCTATCTCTTAATACTTTGCTTAGTTTATGAAAGGCATCAGGAGATTGTCCAGCATTCACTGCCATATAGGAGATTAGATATTTCACAGTAGTTCATTACTCTTTTCTTTGTTTCTAAAAGCATTTTCCTATCTCTTAATACTTTGCTTAGTTTATTAAAGGCATGTGGAGATTGTACTGCATTCACTGCCATATATGAGCACTCATTTCTTCATTTCTAACGACATTCTCCTATCTCTTTATGCTTTTCTTAGTTTATGAAAGATTGTCCAGCATTCACTACCATATAGGAAATTAGATATTATATAGTAGTTCAGCACTCTTTTCTTTGTTTCTAATGACATTTTCCTATCACTTAATACTTTGCTTAGTTTATAAAAGGCATGATGACATTGTCCAGTATTCACTACCATATAGGAATTTAGATATTATATAGTAGTTCAGCACTCTTTTCTTTGTTTCTAATGACATTTTCCTATCTCTTAATACTTTGCTTAGTTTATAAAAGGCATGGTGACATTGTCCAACATTCACTACCATATAGGAAATTAGATATTATATAGTAGTTCAGCACTCTTTTCTTTGTTTCTAATGACATTTTCCTATCTATTTGCTTAGTTTATGAAAAGCATTTGGAGAGTGTCAAACATCCTCTGCCATATTTATTTAGATATTACATAGTAGTTCAGCGACTTTTTTTTCATAAAATAAACGATATAATACAATATTTCGTAATAATAAACTACATTGTTGTTAATCCCATATCACTTCCTTACGTAATGGCCGTCCTCAGCTTCCTTTATGAATTGGGAATTAACATAACTTTTTCAGAAAGTTGTTTTTTTTCCGCGTCTTGTAATTCAGAGTAGACATTTTCTTAGATTGCTTACCTCCGAAGGCTAGTGACACCTGTTTACTACTATTTAATCCATAGCTGATGGAGGATAGAAAAGATGTATTATTGTTATTTTTCCCAGGGCATTAGCACCAAAGTAAATGCAACAGACAAGTCAGGAATTTGAATTTGACTCGCCAATTCTACTTCCGGCACTGATAACCAGTGTTAATCGTAACAGTGTACATGCTACTTTCAAAATCCACGGCACCGTTACACACAGACGAACACACAAACACCTACATTAACACACATATACATACACGGACGTACAGTTACTATGAGCACAGCAATTGGATATCGGAAGCTGTCAAATCAACAATGAATTCGCCGAGTCCTTTAAATATTTCTCTCTATATATACGGTGTCCGTCAAACTGGGATTCGCACTTTTGGCAGGCTATTTATTTTATGATCCAATAACTTTATGGCTGACAATTAATTTTACAATAAATATTACACATAAAACTATGTTTTTAATTTAAAGCAGTACTACTTAAAGTGCTACACGCGAACCATGGGCAGGTGGGAGGAGGCTGTCAACAAAAGATAAGAGATGGATTTTCGAAACTACTGCATCTTTTGGTTTCTTTTTCAATAAACGTAAAGGCAGAATGTGATGAGGTCAGAGAAATTGTTTTAAAAGCACTTCGACTATTTCTTTCAAAAGACTTTTGCAAGACTGGCTTCTCAACAAGAAGAGTCCTCCAGACGAAATACAAAAAGAACAGTATATATATATATATATATATATATATATATATATATATATATATATATATATATATATATATAAATGCCCATTAAGGAATTGTATTCCTGATCAATCAAAATTCGTAAATAATTATATAGGTCACGCTACATGTTTGACACGCAGACTGACTCTACACCTTTCTGACCACAGTTCAATTAGATCTCATTCAAATATTCATGGAGACCTACCGGACAT